GCTTTTTTCAATTCCTCTACTATTAGTTCACTCTCTCCCTATATATATATATATATTGTTCAAATTTTAGATCCTTAATAAAATACTTTCTATTCATCCTTTCAAGTTCAAATACGTTTTATTAAACTTGCAGTGGATGACACTTGATGTTTATTCAACTTTTTCAAATATGAATTCATTAATAAAGTTAAAAAATGAATAAATAGTAACGAACAAAAATAATAGTCCAACAGTATATATAGAAAAGAAAATCGTTCGTTATGTCCATGTAGCGTAATGGATAGCGCGTTGGGCTTCTAATCTAAAGGTCGTGGGCTCAAATCCCACCTGGAATGGCCAAATTTCTGAGGACGTGGTTACAAAACATGTGTGTGTAAGTTTTAATTTATTTTTTTTAATATGTCCTTCAAAAAAAATTATCTTTTAACTTGCATTGAAATCTTTACTTTTCCATAGTTTTAATAAAAGGGATTCAGTATTGTCAATGTTATGGAATTGAGACTTTATAAGAACATATTATGTCAACGTTTTATTTTACTTTTTGATTGATTGATTGTGTATTAATAAACGTGAACTCTCGCAAAATAAAATACATCAAAATTCAATTTTAAAATAAGACACATTAATAAAATACATTTCAATAGACAAATTAGAATATTTCAATAATTTTAAATCAAGAAATTATTTATAAGGTTTACCAATATGCTTGCCTATCTATCACATTTATGAAAAATAACAAACAATAGAATAAATATTTTAGCAATCAAATAACATGGCTACATAATTCGCTTCCATTATGTAGAGGAATAAAAAAATCGTCTGTAGTAACAAATATGATGTGTTAAACTGATGATTAAGCAGTTCAGAAATGATAAAGCATGATGTCACATTGCTGCTGTACATCAGAGAAATATGTAAAGAATATATCACGCAGACAGAAATGCTGAAAAAATTTATGACATCATCCAGAAGCTAGAAGGTATGACTTTTGCGCCCTAATATATTTAGTGCTACGATGCCATAATATAATCGTTGACTAATCACTAAAAGAACAAAATGCAGCCAGAATAAAACTGAAAAGCGCTAAGTGACACGGCTCCAAATCAAGTCTTAAGATATGTCTTCGATACATATTGTCAAAGCGGTGTCATGCATTACTTAAAAAATCTAATGCTCGATATTATTTCTTTTTTCATAGGTTTATGAAAATAGATGGATAAAAAAGTTTTTATATTTTGCTATTTTATATTTTTACCCTAATGTCTGAAATAAGATTAATTGCATTACAGTAAGTTGCTGCATTGTAGAGAAATTTAATTTTAAAAATGTAAATATTGTTTTAATTCCGATTTGGAAAGAAAATTCTATTTGATCGTTAGAATCCACATTTAAAAATAGCTTGAAATCGAATGCTTTTAAGAAAAATCTTACAAAATGCTTTAATTTTCTTTTCATTTGAGGATATTGAATGTATCTACATTATGGATTAAATGTTACAATATTTAAAAAAAAATCCTATATATATAAAAAAGATAATCATTCAGATTTTAAAATCTATAAAATGGGAAAAATTATTGTGTTATATACTCTCAAAGGAGATTTGATTTCCAGATAGGTACAGTAGAGTCACGAAAATTCGGCACTCGATAATCTGGAAGACGAAGTACGAAAGGTGATTGATAAGTATGGTTTATAATAATATAAAATAAGTTTCCGACAAGGTAAAATAATAACAGAGATGTGAGAATGAAAGAAATGTATTACTCTTACATATTGTAAACTCATTTCTCAACATAGTCACCTCTAACAGCTTCACATTTGTTCAATCGTTCTACCTATTTCTTCATTCCATCCATGTAGAAAATTCTGATTGGCTGCATATCCATTTGAGCACGGCTGCCTGAACTTCGACATCCGTTGAATAACGTTGACCTTTTAACGTTTCCTTCAACTTTGGGAACAACCAAAAGTCAGACGGAGCCAAATCTGGGATGAAAAGGGGTTGTGGAACCACTGCAAATTTCAATTTTTCCATGACGTTCTGTGTTTGTGCACTGCAATGCGATCTTGCATTGTCGTGATGCAAAAGAAAAACGTTTTTTCCTGTCTGATTCAAGGATGCGTTGCTTGAGAGATCGTAGTGTTGCACAGTACCTGTCGAAATTCACTGTCAATCCTTTAGTCAGAAATTCCGTGTAGAGCACACCACTTGCATCCCAAAAGATGGTGAGCATAACTTTTGTTGCTGACATAAAAGTTTCGTATTTCTTGACACTTGGAGAACAAGGATGTCGATATTTCATAATTTCTGGGTCATAATGATGAATCCAGGATGTCAAAGTTCAGGCAGCCATGCGCAAATGGACACTCAGCTAACCAGAATCTTTTTTCATGGACAAATGTGAAGCTGTTAGTGGTAACTATGTTGAGAAATAAGTTTACAGTACATAAGTAATACATTTCCTTCATTCTAATTCCTCTTTTATTATTTTACCTTGTCAGAAACTTACTTTATACAATTGGAGACCTTACTTATCAATCTCCCCTTTGTAAATCGGCCATACCCTTGCAGAGTGTCCAAAGAAGAAATAACTGCTGTTGTCACAGTTAGTGAAAAAATGCCGGAAAATGATGAAGACGTTAACGTTGAGTACACCGTTTAAACTCCTAAAATATCACATTGTGAAGGACTAAAGGCTGTCGAAACCGCTCTTCAGTAATTTGAACAACAAAGTGCATTGGTAATAGACTTACTGTTCCTTTGTCGTCTTCTTGATGAAGCAGCAAAACACAGAGTGCAGTATGGAAGACATTAGGACATCATTTTCACAAACATTAACCAGCGTTTTCACAAACTTGTCCATCTTTCGGTCAACATTAGGCCGAGTTTTCGGGACTCTACTGTAATTGAATAGTTCAATTAATTCAAGGAAAATCGAAACATTTATTTAAATTATTTCACGTGGGGCTTTCTTTTATTCATATTTACATTTATTTAAATTTTCGTTGCACTTTAATGAATATTATTTCAAAATTCAAAAAGTATTTTTATATATGTGAACTTGTACACTCACATATAAATCAGTTATTCATTAATTCTTGTAACAAAAAAATGAGCTCTCAAGGTATTTTTTATGCACACTCTTATTTTCTCATAATGAATTTTTCTTTTTCTATTCTAAATACTCCTAACTATTAGAGTTTTGTTTTAAAGCTACAAAATTTCGAAATGATTTTTCATTGCATGGTATAATAACAAAAAATTTTGATTATTTTGAAAATAGGGTTAAAAATTTCTAAGCTATTTTAAACGAATACAAACTTATAAAAGCTTCTTGAAGGTACTTAAAATTTACTTATTTAAGTTTTGAACTTAAATAAGTAAATTTTGAAATGATAAATTTAGTAATAATTATTAAACATGTTAACCTCTTTTATCATTAACCTCTCTACTGGAATTCATATTTATAAATATACAAGATGTCTCAAAAATAGCTCCCAAGACACACACAAATAGATTCCTCGTTGTGAGTGTCGTATAATCCGGCGTATAACGCTCACTTTCAACACAAAAAGTATGATCGAAATTTACTGGTGCCCGTTATACGTCGAGTATAAAAATTAGATTTTCAAAAATAAAAAAGGGGAGCATAGAAAAAAATTAGACTTCTACATAGATCGAAATATTGTTTCTTTAAAAGAAATGACATCCCATGTGAACTTAAAGAGTTGCAGTTCTAGAAGAATGCTATTTTTTCAAAGCGCCTGGGATAAATGACATCTCTCTCAAAACATAAGAGCATTCAGCACGGACATTTCAGGTTTCTTCGTATGAAACGGGATGCGCGTTATATAACGAAAATACCTAAGCAATACAAATTGCAGCTTGAAACTATAGATTCACGTTATACGATTTTACGATACGAAAAAATACCCAAAGAGCTATGCCTGTTTAGTCATGGCTTAAGGGGATGGTGGACCTTCACAATGTCAGATTTCGGTCAAAATTGCGATTTTGATTTTCTTATACTAATATTATTCCTTATATTTCATAGAATGGTTATGCCAAAGACTTTTGTCATTTTGATTAATAATTAATGAATTATTTTTTTATTTTAATGAAATAAATGTTTAAAATGCACTTTTCTTAGCTCTCAAATTTTCCCTTTTCAATGTTACGTAAAACGTTTCTTGCGTTTTAAATTATACGTCATATCTCTTTTTGAAATTTTCACAACTTATAAAAGAGGATACAATTCACAAATTTAAGCATTAGTTTTCTAAAAAACTTAACGGATCATATTTTGTGCTGTTTTTAATACCTTGAATGTGTGATAATTGGCGAAATATTTCATATAGTATAGAAAATTTATTTTTTTTCCATCAAATTTTATTCTGAATTTAAAATCCATGCACAGCTATATTTTGTTGTAGTTCATAAATATATAAAACAAAAATTATGTACATATCCTAAAAACTAATGCGCAAGGAGCATTTTTAAAAATAGTTTTAAAAAATTTAATTTTTTAAAAGAATCAGTTGATAATAGTTTTTTTTTTTTTTTTTTTTTTTTTTGAAAAAATACATTTAAATTGTGAAATATAACAATCATTTACTGTATTGATTCCATTTTCAGCTAATTAAGCTAACAATTTAACAAATTAGTTTTAATGGTCCACCGTCCCCATACGGGAAAAATACGTGAAATGATGAAGCATAATGATGAATTGATGATGGTTCACATGATGGGTCTTCGGCCCATTTCTGTACTCCTATATGTGATTAGCTGGATCTGGTACACTTCGGCCACCGGATCGGACTTGGGGAGTCTGGTTCCATGGCCACCGTGATCGACAAAACTCACACCATTGAATTTTTTCCTATGGGGTAATCTGAAGGATTTGATGAAACGAGACATGTGACTGAACAAACAGACTTTGTTACTCGTCTGCATGCTGCTTGTACTTCGGTGGGCATCACGTTGGTGCGACATGTGCACCACAGGACACTCAAGCCTACCCCTCGATATGCACTGTGGACACTTTGAACATCTACCTTCATAAATATTTGTAAATACAGTCAACCCTCGTTTAAAGCGGTACTCTCAGAACGCGGTTTCCATATAACGCGGAGCTGAAATTGCGACAGCCCTCCTATAACGCGGTACTCTTACAGCCGGTTTCCGTTCAACAACGTCCCATCAGTTCTTTCAGTGTGCCCAATGAATGGTTTTAAATGGATATCGTTGGTCTAATTATCAAACTGCGTAACTCCATCTGGGATGCTAATTTGATACAGTAGGGCTAGGCGCCAAGTTGTTTATGTTCGCCAAGAT